AAACCCAAGAAGCATAAACTAACAAAGTTTTGATGATTGTAAGTCAATAAGTACCGGAAATACTTAAATATAGCCATAAAATGTCAAAAGTAGGTCATCGTGACCTACTTTTTGGTCGACATTCTTCTATAACCCAAGATGCATCAACTGACAAAGTTTGATGATTCTAAGCAGATAAGTACTGGAGATACTTAAATATAGCCATTAAATGTCAAAAGTAAGTCATCTTGACTCACTTTTTGGTTGACAATTATCAGAGGCCTTAGATGCATCTGCTGACCAATTTTGATAATTCTAAGCCAATAAATACCTGAGAAATTCAAAAGTAGGTCACTTTGACCTACTTTTTGGTCGACATTCTCTGAAAACCCAAGAGGCATAAACTAACAAAGTTTGATGATTCTAAACCGATAAGTACCAGAAATACATAAATATAGCCATTAAATGTCAAAAGTAGGTCACAGTGACCTACTTTTTGGTCGACATTCTCCAAAAACCCAAGGTGCATCAACTGACAAAGTTTGATGATTCTAAGCCCATAAGTACTGGAGATACATAAATATAGCCATAAATATTGAAAGTAGGTCACCGTGACCTAATTTTTGGTCGTCACTATCCGAAAACCCAAGATGCATCAACTCACAAAGTTTGATGAATCTAAGCCAATAAATACCTAAGATACTGAAATATAGCCATAAAATGTCAAAAGTAGGTCACAGTGACCTACATTTTGGTCGACATTTTTTAGAGTCCCAAGATGCATCAGCTGACCAAGTTTGATGATCATTGGTCTGAAGGTAATCAAAATATGCCTTTTAAACAATTTTAAAACAAATGCCTGCAAAATTCTGAAAGTAGGTCACAGTGACCTACTTTTACTTAAATATGTTTTAAGGTCCCAAGATGCAGCAACTTACAAGATTTGATGATTCTAACCCTCTCAGTGTCTTAAATAATGGGATGAAATGTTTTAAAAAGGATCAGTCATATAGTTCAAAAAGTAGGTCATGGTGACCTACTTTTAAGTTGACGTTGTTCAAGGACCCAAGATGCATCAACTGACAAAGTTTGATGATCATAGGCCTTAAAGTGTCCTAAATATGCCTTCAAATCAATTAGGAAACAAATGCCCGCAAAATTAAAAAAGTAGGTCACCGTGACCTACTTTTGAATTAACATGATGTGAAGTCCTAAGATGCATCTACTTACAAGATTTGATGATCCTAGTCCTTATAGTAAGCAAAATATAGACATTTTCATTAATTGTAAATTGAGGTCAACTTTGAAGTGAGACCACGCCCTTTGCCCCAGGGTCATGCCTTGAACAATTTTTAATCTTCAAAATATCCTGATGTTTGAAAGTTTGGTGAAAATCTGCTTGTTGATTCTGGAGAAGAAGATTTTTTTTGCAACCAGTGCTTTTGGTTTTGTTTTCCTGATTATCTCCCCTTGTTTTAGGGTCCCAACCCTTTTTTTAGTATAAATGGTAGCCCTTGGGCCAAGGATACCCTCTGACAAATTTGACACTGATTGGCCAAGGTGTTCTTGAGTTATGGCCCATATTCTAAAAAGTTAACGCACACCGCACCACGCACACCGCACAAATGGCCATAGCATTAGCTCTTTGAGCCTTTGGCTCAGAAGAGCTAATAAAACAAACGGGGCGGGACACTTTGAGAGGGGTGAGAGAGGTCCTACGGAGTTTTGGTAAATAAAATTACATTGCAAAAGCTCAAAATCCTCTTGAAATGATAGTGTTACACACAGACATAATGTATAAATTTACGACCTTGAACTTTGACCTTTTGACCTCAAAGATTCTTTCTTAAGCCACAGGGAGTTGTTATGTAAAATTTCATTGCAAAAGCTCGAAGGGTTATCCAGATATTGCACGGAAACGAAAGTGTTCTAACAGACAGAATTTGCGAATTTATGATTTTTAATAAAGACAGTAATTAAGTATTTTTGATGATAACATGTATATGTGCCTCTTGTATACAAGCATTTTGGTTCCATCCCCGAAAAAATTAATGGTCCTTTGCAGATGGTGGAAAGTAAATTTCTTGCACATTTTTAAATATACTAACTTTTTACAAAATTGCTAATGAAAAGTAGTTTGTAGACATTAAACTGAGTTATAAGCATTGACTTTGAAAATAATGAATGATAGTTTCCAGCTTTAAAGAAAGTGCAAATCCTTTTGTAGGTTAGACTTTGATGAACAAAATTATTTCGTAAACCGTCACCTAATAACGATCATTTTCGAAATTATTTAATACTAAAGCAATATATATGTTTTAAGAAAATGAATGTGTTTCATTTGGAAGAAATTAAGATAGGTAATATTCCCTTAAAGTTCAGTAGTTTTAATAATTATATATCAAGTGCGAAAAATTGAAGAGTCTGTTGCATATACGTGTATATTGCACATGTTTAGTCAAATAAGAAGCTTAAAATTAGGGGGTAAATGGATTTAAATTGTTTGAATTTACTAACTTTTCCTTCTATTAATATGTTCCGCTTAAAAATTCGTTGCATGGGGCATGATTTGCAAAATTGATTGAACTTTCTCTCTTACTCTCTATCTCCCTCTCTTACTCTCTCTCCTCTTTGATAAATTAATGTCAAGAATGTCTTATATAATATATGTAAAGAATAAATTACATGTACTGATATCTTCAGTTGAAAATAATCCTCAAGGGGGTTCTCTGGTTTTTCACTAAATCAAACATTCAAAGTATATTTGTTTATAAAGAACAGAATTTTTTTCCTCCTCATAATTGTTCTATCTCAATGATAAACTGAGATTGAAATCAAACAGGGACTATATTTTTGGCGAAACTGCGACAAATGAAAATATCCATTTCTTTTTCCTAAGGGCAATTTTAATAAAATGTTTGCTTGCCCTCCCCCGTCTCAGAATCAAAAATACTTCCCTCTTATGATAGTTTAAAAAATCGTTCAGTTTATATTGAGAATATAGTAAATACTGAAGTACCCCCTAAACAATGACAAACTGTAGGAAAAGACCACCCTTAACCAGATAATCATGTTTTCTTTTATTATTTTTTAATACTTACATGAATAAATAATTTTTAAATGAGATATATAATACAACATTACACATTGAAAGTATCTTGGGGATAAACCGTCTTGAACTATTTTAATGACCCAAAGTCATAGTGGCTAGCCTGTTTTATGTTTAAAATTTTCAAACAATCTTGTTTAGAATAAGAGTATTGGACAAGTAAATTTACTGTCATGCAACAAACTTGCAACTATGAAAATATAACACTGGTTCACAAATGATTACATACATGTACTTTGATTTTGCATTGAAAAAATACATGTATCTATAAATAGAAACAGGTGATTTCCTTTTAAAATACTGGAGAGTTTTGAAGGGTTAAGGCTAGGGTTTTCATATTTCATATATTTAGTCCTTATGACAAGACCTTTCACTGTATACCAACAACTTTGACCTTGGAGCTTTTTTTTATAACTTTAACTTTGGCCATAACTTTTAAACGGTTAGGGTTAGGATTTTCATACTTCACTTATACCATCGTCTTCCACCTTCCTCAAATAATTTGACATCATTTATTTTCTCCACGAATGAGTCTACTCTGCTCTGTTTTTTGCAAATATCAAAACAAAATGTTTGTTGTAAATGAGCATTTATTGCAATGCCAAACAAATTAACCAAATATGTACAAAAGTTACATATGACCATATATGAATATATCCTTTATAAGGATATTAATATACATAAGGAAAAAATACAAATATGACTAGAAGAATTTGCAAAAAAAGATGGGAGAACAAACTTCACATCTGTAATCCTTGTGACAAGACCATTCTTTAGAAACAAACAACTTTGGCCCTTTGACCTTGATCCTTGAGTTTGGCCCACCTATCAAAAACTCATCCTTGGTCATAACTTTTAAACAGGTGGTGCTACAGCTTTCATATTTCACAATACAATTGTATTTCTTGTGAGAAAAACTTACTTTGGGTAACAACATATTTAATTTGCATTTAAGGAAAGTTAAATTTTAGCTACATGTATGTTGCCAAATAGGGGCATCAGTGTTTCACAAACACATCTCTCTCTCTCTCTTTCTCTGAATGGTCAAAATTATTGTCTTTTTATCTTCACTATTTTCTTATGAAAATAAGCATTCTGAGAGTAGGACTACTGCATATAAGCAATACATGTCCCGAACCGGGTTCCCCTTTTTCCATAGGATGTCATTTTATAATATGCAAAAATTATGACCAAGATAAAACTGCTTGATGTTAAATTTTTTGGTTGTGCTTAATTTGCCGTTAACTTAAGGGTTTGCTTTTGTGCTCAGCCAACTGAAACTCGTATAAAATAAAAATCTCAATATCTTAATAAATACTTCTTGCTTTTTGATAAAACTTAACCCATAGCACCTTCTATTGCAAAGCTGTCTTGAAATGTATTCAATATTTGGTTGTCACTTGCAATGTCTTGCAGCAGCAATGTGCATAATACACTTGCAGGACTGCACAGCTGCAGGTATAATAAAACAATAAAATGACATTTGTCGTATACCTACAGATAGTTGAATGTCATGGGTACAACTATTTGTTTTGTTCCTAGCAATTCATAGGCGTAGTCACAGGGGGGGGCAGCGGGGGCACTAGCCCCCCCACTTTCAGATCTGGGGGGGCAAGAGTATGTCTGTGCCCCCCCCCACTTTTCAATAAAGAACAAAATCACAGCTATATTTCCCCAACATTTTCTTTGCTATAGGAAATGTTCATTGAAGGATTGAAGGGATAGTAGTTACTTTTTGACCCTAGTATAGTAATATGGAAAAATTTTGGAAAAAAATTGGAATTGAAAGTAACTTGCCTTTGTAAAAAGTTGGCCACTTTTGTGTTTATTGTGAATTATGAGCTTTATCTCAGATATCTTACATAACTGCTAGTGGCAGTTATACATTTTGAGTATGACAAAGCCTGTGATCTAGTGCACATCAATTTTAAATAGGTTAAACATTATACGGAGGATCCAAAAATTTCCAACGTGGTTCTTGCAGACCACGATTAGGTAGCGGGGGACTAATAAATGTTACTTTGTTTCAAAATACCAAAAAATTTTCGAAATTGTTTCCAAATACTGTGAAGTTAAAAACAGGGCTTCAAATATTATGAGTAGAGTAAATTTTGTTTTATTAATGAGCGATTAATACTTGTGTAAGATCGGATCATCCTTCATTGAGCCTCAGTCACTTAAAGTTAAATGTCCAGTGACGGCTACCTGAAACGGCTCTACGTAGTAAACAAATATGGTAAATCAGTTGTGTTACTTGTAAAGGAAAATTTTGATATTCAAAAGTTATTTCTTTTTTGTTGTATTTTTTTTTTGTGAAAAGAGGTGCACATGGTGCAAGTATTATAATTCTTTACATAATGATATTCACACAAGATTGTACTATTTATATACAAGTCATTTTGGACCATACTCATTCTGATTTGCTGAATGATGTTCGAGATATTGAAGCAAACCTCTATTCTTTTAAGACCTCAGTGATAAAAATTTTTGTGATGCACTTTCAGTAAATAAAAAACATTCTGTATCAAAACACTGACACCCTTAATGAACAAAGACATGCAGTTACATTATTTAATAGCTAGATTTAATTTAAAGAATTTACTTTGAACTTTTTAATAAAATTTCTTGTAACTATGTTTACCATGTTTACAGAATGCCTTGTTTCACTAAAAAGAACATTGCTCAGATATTTCTCTGGACTACCAATTTCTGTACTTCATGTGATGCCTGTGTTGCAGCCCTCCCAAGAACCTCCCTTGTAGGTGTTCTATGATAAGGTATGAGATTAGTTTTATATCACAATGGAGTAATTCTGTAAATTTTAAACGAGGGTTTAACACAGTATAATGTACTAGCTGTTATATCATAGTGAGCTGATTAGTCAGTTTCATTTTGTATTGAATTCAAATGTTCTTCTAAGTGTATAGAATGGAAGAATGTATAATTTTTATGATGAGAAATGTATATACAGTTGGATGAAAAGAGAGATGTTGTTTAAATGAATGTTTATACATGTATGTGTCCATCAAATTGTCTCAAGCCATGGTCAGAGTCCGCCTACAGCTCTCTCTTACAGTGCAAGAACTAACTTTGTTTCAGCATCGATGCTGATTTGAATGCTTTCTTTGCTTGCTGATGCTGATATTGGCAATGCTTAGCAGCTTGCTGTTTTTTTTTTAATGCTTATCCTGATGCTAGGTGGTTGCTGAATTAAAGCTGATGCTTATTTTGCTGATGCAGATGCTGATTTATGTAACAAAATTAGTTCCTTGTACTGTACCCATGGCTGCTTGAGCAAGTAAATTAATAATCAAGCCATATGTAGGCCTATAACATCATGTTATAAATCAATGTACATGTAGGTACAAATGTTTGGTAAATAGTCTGGATGAAGAAATTAAGGTCAAATCAGAGATTATTTTTAAGTAATAAAAATCTTCAATCTCTTTTGGGAGGGACTGTTTCTGATCATCATCTTGTAGCTTACTAACAGTAACACAGGTCATAATATCAGGTTTTTAAAATTTTGCTATCAAATCCTGACCTTGTCATTTAACCTTAAGATTTTGTACTGAAACTTGTTTGCCTCATTTAAGAACATGATCCTATATGCTTGTCTCATTTACTTTCCAAAGAAGAATGACATGATCACCAATTGAGTTTACCTTGATCTTATTTATGGTTAACCTCTTTGTATACAAATTAAAATATTTATCTCTAGTGTATGGATTAAACTACTGTGATCTACACAATTGTAAATTAAAATGAGAAACATGTGTATATTCAATGCAACAAACAATTTTTGCAAATATTTACAATGTTACCATAATTGCTGAGGGATGTGTAACCTTTGACCCTGAAATATACATGTCTATCTTTTAATGCTTCTTTCTTAGTCATGATGTATAGATTTATCATCCAATTCAATTTTCTTCTTTGATAGTGATACTGTACTGGTTTTTTTAATGTTATGTTATATAATTTTATAGATTTCAAAGATAAAGAGGAAATGGTTCTAATGATAGAGATTGTCCATGTTGGTTTGTCTCAATCTTTTGGAAAACGTTGGAGAAAATATCAGCAACAAATGAAGACTCTGATCTAATTTATTACTATGTGACTTGAAAGTTATTTGACTTTATGGTAATATTTACACATGTGTTGAACTTTCCGAACATCGTTGAAAAAGATCATATGATGACAATAAACAAAAATACATAATGAACTTTCCACAAGTTTCCAATAAAGAACATTTGGGATCTTGGTAAAGGATATTATAATTAGATTTTTACTTAATTTATATGTGTTCTTGTGCAGTGCATTAAATGCAGAAAATGTTTTTAAATTAGTCTTTTGAAACCAGTGCTGAGAACACAGGTCTCAGATACCCTCATACTCCAGTTATATTGGAAAGATTGAAGTTTATTTTTAAAATAATACCTTAATTATATCTGTAAAGAAACTTTTTACAAAATTAGTCAAACTTGGATATGCTGGTTAACATGTTAAAAGAAATATAATATTCTGGAAGTGATGTTTTGTTCTTCTTTGTGAATTTTTTTTTACAATAATCAAAGACATTTTAATATCTTAATTAAGTCATCATAGCAAAAGACTGTATGGAGCTTTTCTGATCAAAGGGTCTCTGGTGTCTGTTAACTCTGTTTATTTGTCATCCATGAAAATTAAACCCTAAACAATTAAGGGTACAGTATCAAAGTCTTGCATGGGAATGTATAGTAAATAAAGTGCCCCGCCACAGCATGATACGCCCGTCAAATATTGTTCAATAATCATAAATTGGTTAGGATGCAAGAAAATCAGGTAGCCATGATTAACAGATTGACACAGATTTCAATTATCTATTTTCCATTTCTTATTATACATCTCTAAGAGACTTACAGTGTAGGGATTGATTATAACAAATAATACTAGTGAGACATGACTGCAATTTGTAGCAAATATATAAAAATTGAAATTTAATTTTTTTTTTTCAATTAACACATGTATAATTAGTTTTAATCATATTGTACAATACTAATTTAGTTTTAATCATACACTAAAACATCAATTTGTTTTAATTAATTACACCAATTGAAAGATCTTTATCTGGACTAGCCATCAAGAACTCTTAATTAACACAACAACTATGAGGCCATTTCTTTTTGCCCAACTCCTAAGAGATAAATTAAGATAACTGCTGCACCAGATCTAGAGGTGCTCTTAGCTCCTGACAATAAACTCATTAATTTCTCTCTAATTTGCCATGCAAATCTTACTGCTATCAAAATTCTTCTTGACCAGTGCTTGATAATTAAGACCATGGGACAAACTGAATTCCTCTCAAAGCATAAACATTTGTTACAGATTGCTGTAGAGCATATAATGAAAAAATAAGTTTTTACTTAATTAAATGTTTTTTAATAAGGATACAACTATATTTTTACATTTTTTAGGATTATGAAATTTAAAATTTAAAAGACAGTTTTTTAAAAAATTCATTTTAATTAAAGGTCACAGTGACCTTGAAATAGGCCGCGACACACCTTCTACTTTAGATGTATACTTTTGCTAAGTTTGAAAGCTCTAGGTCTAATAGTTTTCTAGTTATGAGCCGGACAGGATTTTTCCATATTTTGCTATAGCATCTTTGTTGCAAATATATAAAAATTGAAATTTAATTTTTTTTTTAAATGAACACATATATAATTAGTTTTAATCATATCATACAATACTAATTTAGTTTTAATCATACACTAAAACATCAATTTGTTTTAATTTCATTACACCTATTGAAAGATCTTTATTTGGACTAGCCATCAAGAACTCTTAATTAGCACAAGCAACTATGAGGCCATTTCTTTTTGCCCAACTCCCAAGAGATGAATTAAGATAACATCTGCATCAGATCTAGAGGTGCTCTTAGCTCCTGACAATAAACTCATTAATTTCTCTCTAATTTGACATGCAAATTTCTGCTATCAAAATTCTTCTTGACCAGTGCTTGATAATTAAGCCCATGGGACAAACTGAATTCCTCTCAAAGCATAAACATTTGTTACAGATTGCTGTAAAGTATATAATGAAAAAACAAGTTTTTACTTAATTTAACGTTTTTTAATAAGCATACAACTATATTTTTACATTTTTTAGGATTATGAAATTTAAAATTTAAAAGACTTAGTTTTTTAAAAAAATTCACTATAATTAAAGGTCACAGTGACCTTGAAATAGGCCACGACACACCTTCTACTTTAGATGTATACTTTTGCCAAGTTTGAAAGCTCTAGGTCTAATAGTTTTCTAGTTATGAGCCGGACAGGATTTTTCCATATTTGGCTATAGCATATTTATTCAAGGTCAGAGCGACCTACTTTTTGTGGGCGACACACCGTCTACCCAAGAAGTATGAGTTGACAAAGTTTGATAATCCTAGGCTTAATAGTATTCAAGTTATGAGCCGGACAGGAATGGACAGACGGACGGACGGACAGACGGACGGACGGACGGACGGACACGAAGCCTATAACATAATACGTCCCGTCTTAAGACGGGCGTATAAAAATGGTCCTTTAACGAGCAGCAGGGTAATGATTTACTCATAGTTAAATGCGAGCATAATCTCAAATATAGTGAAGATTCAAGTTGGTCTAAATCATGGACCAGACCTAATTTTAATAATATTAATATATTTCCCATTTGTATTTTCATTTTTTTCTTCTTCTGGGATCAGAATTTATATAACTGGTCATTGCATATATACATACATGTGGGGAAAAACCAGTAAACATTTTTCTTCAGAATAAGCATTGTTAGCCATATTGATGATGAAATATCCTCATGTTTTGGAATCAATTTTGGATTAGATGTGGCCTTGTGACCCCTAAGTGGGGCCAAAATATTGGCCCATACATGTATTTGTTTTTCACGAGAATTAAGGGGGATAAGAATGTCGTAGAAATCTGAAGAACACCAATATGACTCATTAGTAAACATTGTGGGCCAAGTGTCATTTAAATTGCACACTTTCATTACCCTACAGATTGTTAATCTCTTATTTAGCATATTTTTTTAAGGAGAAAATTAATTGTCTAGCATTAATTTCCCTGTTTTGTACACACCTTAGAGTAATCCTTTAGATAAATTTGGGCTTTCATATAAAGTGCTATTTATAGAACAACAGTGAGTCTCTTTAATTCTATTTTTAATACATTGCCATGTGGTTGGCACTACTTTCATGGCTAACATTTTCTTGTTGAACTGACAAGTATGCATTTTAAGAATTGTACCTGTTGCAGTCAGTTTTCATTTAAAACAATGGTTCTTCACAAATAGTTGTAGCCACTTTGTTTATTTAACTATTTCATTTTTTTTTGGATTTTTTAATGCACTGCTAAAACCTGTGGCTGCGCAGTCCTGCAGGTGTTTTGTGCACTTCATAGCTGCAAACTACTGCAAGTGTCAATGTAGCTGCATATACCCAAAGATGGTTTTCATTATGAAGATGAAATGGACCAGTTTTCAAGTGTTAGCAAGGCTTATTTTTAAAGATATTAAGATTTCTATTTTCAGTGAGTCTCACTTCGCTGCACACAATAGCAAACCCTTAATAAAAGAATCTACATTAAGACAAAATTCAACTCATTTATTCAACGTCTTTTTCTCGCTTCATATTCACCATGTTGACCTTCGGAATTTAGGACAGCACGAACAGTTTAAAGCAAACTTTTTTTCTTTTGAGTTGTGAAATTTGAAATTATTGTACAGCAAAATGAAGTTGAAGGAGCAGTATCCAATTCAAGGTTTACATATTTAAGGTATAGGAAGACTACGCTTTCTACGGAACTGATAAGGCCAATCTAGAAAAAAAACTCTTAGTTATGCCAGGTATAAATATATATACATGTAGTTATATTTAAATTTCTTTTTAATGATCAGGTATTCTCTACAAGAATCTGATTTGTCTGCCAATATCAGCGACTTTGTTAAAGTCGATTTCTGAAAGGAAATGTTATGCGAATAAAATTTCTTTTCAGTAACACTAAGATTTAAAAAAGTACAAAGTATTTTGGATGTGGATGTTCAGGAAATCTTCCAGAAGATATTGTTGAATGTAAGTCTTATTTAACTTCATTTATCTATTTGACCCTCAAAGAGGCCGGATTATCTCTCTCTCTCTCATTCTCTGACAACAAATTGCTTAATTTTAATTTAAAAAAATTCATTCAAGAAAACCAATAAGTTTATTTTTTTCATTTCCATAAAACATTTTATCTCTACTGTGTTCAAAGCTCTAAAAGCCGATCATAAAAAACAAAAATTTGTTGAAAAATAATTTACCAATTGTATGTAATTCGTTGAAGCCAGAAGGTTCCGTTGACAAAATTTCTTATGAAACTTCTCATTGTAAAGAAAAGAGCGTTGATATAAACTTATGGAATTTAACCCTAAAAACTCTTTGTACTCTAAATGAAACAAAGACTGCACTTAAAACGACCTGTCGTGAAAACAAATTAAATCTGGTCTAAAATAGGTACATTTAATGACCCCAGCACCTAAGGTATATAAAAAGGAAAATTAAGATACATGCACTTTGTCTGCCTGGTAAGTTACAGCGCAAATAATAGGGATTTTTCTAATAGTGGAAATTTATAATTTAAATGCAGTCAATGTGAAAAACTCAAAAAGTACTTTAGTTTTTGATCTGGAGTAAAAATTTATGATGCATATATTTATACGATATTTAAATAATCTGTCGTTATGGGAAAGTACATATCAAGGTGAAAACTAGAGTACAATTAACATCATGAAAAGAATGGGAATCGATGTGAACATACAATGGTCTAGATTATTAAACAGATTCTTTTTTTCTTCTTCCCTAATTTTGTATTGAATCAATAGCCTTGGAAACATTATTATTGTTAGTTACATGTATTTATCTAAAAATCCCATAATTTAATATTAGTTTTACAAAAGACGTTTCATTGTTTATTACATGGGTACTATTGTACATAACATTTCTTCAAGCAAAATTTTTTGTTTGAGAATAATTTTTTTTTTAATA